CCCTATAACACATGACCACCCCCCGCCGTACCACTCCTCAACCTAATTAAGCAACCAACCATTATATATTAAATTCATATATACTCTCTCCTTCTCAATATTAATACCTGCATAACCCACTCTCTCTCATCACATATCTCACATGCCCTTCTCCTCCTCTCATTCAAACAAAATGATCACCTCTCATCCTCCTCCTCATCCTCCTACCACTAATCTCACCTCCCTCGCCTCCGAAAACTCTCTTGTCGGAAACTTAGTTGCTCGGCAACTCTTTTTCCTCCACCATATCCAAATCTTGGAGCTCTTTCTGGCTCTCTTTGTTTTTGTAACCATACACTCCTTGAGGCAGAAGAGGCACCATGGCCTACCCGTTTGGCCCCTGCTTGGCATGTTACCCTCTCTCTCTTTTGCCTTACTTGGACCCCAAACCAACCTGTATGAGTGGGTTTCCGAAATTCTTTGCCGTCAAAACGGGACGTTTTGGTTCAAAGGCCCTTCCTTGAGCAGCTTCAACTGCGTCGTCACTTCTGACCCTCGTAACTTGGAGCACCTACTCAAGACCAAGTTCTCTATTTTCCCCAAAGGCCCTTACTTCAGAGACACCGCTCGGGACCTTCTTGGGGATGGCATATTCAGCGCAGACGACGAGACCTGGCAGCGACAAAGGAAGACGGCCAGCATTGAATTCCACTCAGCTAAGTTCCGCCAACTGACGGCGGATTCCTTGTTCGAGCTGGTCCACGGCCGCCTCCTACCTGTCTTAGAGGACTCCATCAAACACTCGGCTGCTGCAATTGACCTCCAAGACATTCTTTTGAGGTTAACTTTTGACAACGTTTGCATGATCGCATTTGGGGTCGATCCCGGCTGCTTGCAGCTGGGGTTACCCCAAATACCATTTGCTCAGGCATTTGAGGACGCAACAGAAGCAACGATGATGCGCTTTGTGACCCCCATGAGCTTGTGGAAGGCCATGAGGTACCTTAACTTGGGGACGGAGAGGAAGCTTAAGATGTCCATCAAAGCAGTGGATGAGTTCGCCGAGGATGTCATTCGGACGAGGAAGAAAGAACTTGTATCATTACTGCTCAACAATAATTCTGGTGGTGGTGTTACTGAAACTGATCATACGAAGAAGCAAAGATCAGACCTGTTAACGGTGTTTATGGGGTTGAAGGACGAGAACGGAGAGGCGTTTTCAGACAAGTTCTTGAGGGACATATGCGTCAACTTCATACTGGCTGGGAGGGACACGTCATCAGTGGCGCTGAGCTGGTTCTTCTGGCTGCTTCATCAAAATCCGGAGGTGGAGCACAAGATTCTTCAAGAAGTGTGCAGGATAGTGGGTGCAAGGTCATCAGTAGATCACGACCGTCGATCTCATGCCAACAATGATATTATCAACGATGATGATGATGACACTGTAGTCTTCAAGCCAGAAGAGATAAAGAAGATGGACTATCTTCAGGCAGCTCTCTCAGAGGCCCTAAGGTTGTATCCTTCGGTTCCACTGGATCACAAGGAGGTAAATTCAATTGCGCATCGATCATTTATTTATTTATTTATTCTTTTATTAGTTTGAACACAATTGATATATAGATTGGTAATTATTCTTTTATATATATAATATTCCAGAAAATAAAAATAAAAAAAGCATTTTGATTGGTAATTAGTTGTTGAAATGAATTGAATTGATGAATGGGTATATATGTAGGTAGTTGAAGATGACATATTTCCGGACGGAACAATACTGAAGAAGGGAACAAAAGTGATATACGCAATTTACAGCATGGGGCGAACGGAGGCAATTTGGGGAAAGGACTGCAGGGACTACAAGCCTGAGAGGTGGCTACGATCTTCGGACGGCCGCTTCATGAGTGAGCCGGCCTACAAATTTACGGCTTTCAATGGCGGTCCTCGGCTGTGCTTGGGGAAAGATTTCGCTTATTATCAAATGAAGTTCGTTGCTGCCTCCATAATTTATCGATACCATGTGAAGGTGGTGGAGCATCACCCCGTGGAGCCAAAGCTCGCATTGACAATGTACATGAAGCATGGCTTGAAGGTCACTCTCCAAAGGCGTGACCATGCTGAGCGCCAAAAATTAATCATTAGTATTGGAGATTAATCCTAATATATAATTAGTTTAAGTGTCATATCCTATATATCTATATATTATATGGTACTGTTCATAGTATGTACGGATTTTGTTTTTTATTTTTTGTTTTTTGTTTTTTGTTTTGGGGTGGGGGTATTTGGTGATCTTGTTGTCTTTTACAGATAAATGGTGGTATTTCCATATCCATAAAGATGATTGAAAATAGATATAGGGTATAGGGTAGGGATGCATTTGGAATATAGTTATATATTTGAATAAATAATGATGGAGTTGTGTGTACGCTTGGATTGTTGACAATTTGGATCCTTCCTCATATGCATTTGAATAATCCACATATAATTTGTTCATCTCTCTCTCTCTCTCCTTCTCTCTCTCTCTCTATCTCTTATATATTCATGAAACAACGTTAACGTTGGTGTAGAGATAAGAGACTGAGTATGCAAGCAAGTGCGGCTGTATCTATCACTGAAGCAAGCTATATGTATCTATTGAACTTACCTTTCCAAATTCCAATTAGTTCCTATTCCTCCCCCAAAGAAAGGATAGATGGATAATGAGCAATTCCTTCCCAAGTTGTGTTGTGTTGTGTTGGGTTGGGTGGGCCCACGCACAAGCTCCTATATCGGATCCTATGGGAAAGCTAGTATAGTTTTTTGACAAAACATTTTTGCTTCTATAGTTTTGATTTGACAGACGTTTTTCATACATTTCATTTCACACTCGCCTAGCTTCATTGCTTCTGTTCTGTTCTCTAGGCATTTCATCAAACACGCAAGCCTCCCTCAAGCGTCAAGCCTCGCTGCTGGGAATACAAATTACATAGAACTAGAATAGGGAAGTTTGGCGACCAACTCATGACCTCAGTCAACACTCTTTTCACTGCAGTCTGCAGTTGGGCTCCCTCCAGCGAACGTGATGCTTTTTTCTCTGTTTGAGGTTGGTGCACATTTTTGCTTCCTCTACCAAGATACCTCGGTCCGTACTCGACACTCACCTTAAAGTTAACTAACATCACGACAATACAAGAAAGACTACTTCTAAACTCACCAACTTTGTTTACCAAATTCTGTTCGTCCAATGATGTACCATTTTTTCATTTATGCGAGTATGAACCCACTTTGAATTTCACATTTCTAACAGATAAAATACTTGCATGTGCGCTAGCACATCACCTGGGAGAAAATTTGGTGAATAAGATGTGGTGACCGTGAGCAACAGAAATCGGGTACTATACACCGTCCCATAATCCGTAGATACCATTAGGATGTATTGATCCAATAGACTCGTTGAAGAAAAGAATCCTAGATGAAGAGCTGGTTCTCATCGAATTGATTACTTATTCCTAGTAACGGTTCCTAAAACAATAAACAAGAGAACTGTAATGTTTTGAATTTATTTCGACTCCTTTGGGTTGGTGTTCATCTACTTAGCACAGCACTCAAAGAAAAAACTCATGCTATAGATATATTTTGTAACACAGTTGCATAAATTCAAGCAATAGGTTTTGAATATTATATATCCCGCATCTTGAAGCGGGCTCCCGTAGCAAAATCAATAAATTCAAACATAATCAGAAATTCAACATCGTTGGCATCATGCATGCTATAATTCTGTTTCCTTATTTTGGAGTGCGACAGAGTTACATCTGACTTATCTGAGAGTAAACTTACCTCATTCAAGCTCTCCCATCCCACTCTTCATAGAACTCCACAAGAAACTCCTCCATGAACTTGTGCCTTCTCTCAGCTCTCTTTTGCCCAGCCTGAAATCAACGTTCAAACCCCATAGCACAAATTGATAATTCTTTACATTTTTCGCGTTATTCAAAACATGGATTTACCACCCGGCTATTTTCATTGTATAGATAATATATATATATATATATACACTTTAGCACAAGCACAGATGAGACACGAAGATGCATGATGGATGCAAATGAGGAAAATTCCATGTGAGAAATGTGTAATATCATGCTTCTGTTTCAACAAATGTACCTTTGTTTTCATCAATGCCTTTAGCTTAAGAAGCTTCTCATGAAAGTGATTCACAGTAGTCTGCTCATCGTTTTTCATGTACTTTTCCTTAGATAAATCAGATTGTGGCGGAATGTTAGGATCATGTAGCACTCTGTTTCTACTTCCACCAAAAGTAAAGCAACGAGCAATTCCTGTACCAAAAGACTACTTAGGAGAGTGCACCAGCGTGAAATGGCATAATTTGTTCTATCGTCTAAAGCATTTTTTAACAAACTTCACAATGGAGATACCTCAAACAAAAAAGGTGAATGGAATAAGGCAAGGAAAGAAATATATGGACCCAATCAAAGCGAAAGGTCATAGCCAGAAAAACAAAAACCAACAAACAAACAAACACACACAGAGAGAAGAGAGAGAGAGAGAGAGAGAGAGAGAGAGGGTGGAAAGACATGAAACTTTTCTGTCTTTCATTATAGGCAATTAAGAAGACACCAAAGATCGTTGGGGCATAGAGCAAACAGCTAAGCACAACTGTTACTTTTCCAGCAGTAATCCCAATTTTAATTTTACATAGAGAAAGTAGGTAGACAAAATTCAATGGTTTTAGAACCAAGCATTTTATTAGCAAGTGCACAAATTACCAATAGCACCAATTGCATCGAGACGGTCAGCATCTTGTACAACCCCAAATTCTGGAGGAAGATCATTAGTTGTTGACCCTGCAAGCTCATCCTTGAAACCTGGAAAGTAGAAGTACAGGTAGAGCACCAAATGAATTAACAAAGGAGCTGGCAGAAAGATCAAAATTGAACAAAAAATAAAAAAATACAATGAAATTGCAAAATTGCATATGATTATTAAGTGGTATAAAACATTACATGGCGAAAACAGGGGATGCATATTTTAGTGCATGTGTTTAAACACACAACAGTTTCCTATATGGGAAAGAGACATGGCGTCTGTTACTTTTCCAGCAGTAATCCCAATTTTAATTTTACATAGAGAAAGTAGGTAGACAAAATTCAATGGTTTTAGAACCAAGCATTTTATTAGCAAGTACACAAATTACCAATAGCACCAATTGCATCGAGACGGTCAGCATCTTGTACAACCCCAAATTCTGGAGGAAGATCATTAGTTGTTGACCCTGCAAGCTCATCCTTGAAACCTGGAAAGTAGAAGTACAGGTAGAGCACCAAATGAATTAACAAAGGAGCTGGCAGAAAGATCAAAATTGAACAAAAAATAAAAAAATACAATGAAATTGCAAAATTGCATATGATTATTAAGTGGTATAAAACATTACATGGCGAAAACAGGGGATGCATATTTTAGTGCATGTGTTTACACACACAACAGTTTCCTATATGGGAAAGAGACATGGCGTAGACATTGATGCAGTACAAAATGCTGATAAGTAGATTATACCATTAAACTCAAACAAATGTAATCAAGATTATATCAGCAGGAGCAGAATAGGGAAGAAACAAAGTTGAGAAGGAGCAGCAACCAACTTACAACTTACCCATTCCCTTAATGATCCTTAAAATCTTCATTTTGGTACTCTCTTCTATGCCCTCCTCGTCAAGAAAGTTTTCGACAATTTTTTCCTCTGAGGGATCTCTACATTCCAACATTAGCCATAAGGATGAATAGATGCAAGAACCAGAAAAGAAAATAGAAAAGAGAAAAAGGAAAAATAAAAAGGTAAAAGAAAAGAATGAATGAGAAAAATACAAACCTCAAATACTTATAATCACCTGCAATGAGCAACCAAGGACTAATACGGTCAGTAGGATATATAGGATGAGAAAAGGAAAATAAAAGCAATGCTGAAAACATGCAGGGAGAAGCATAAAATGAAAACCATGGAGAAGCAGAAATGGGTTTGTTTGTGTAGATATATGCATACCATTATTATGAGTTGAGTTGATTAGTACAGCTCACATAAGCAAGAAGGCATGTGGTTACATGTAGCCAAAGAGAAGTTATAAGTAAAGATTTAGGAATGGGCGCATGTTTTGCAGTTTGAATCTTCCCCCAAAAAAATCCATATCCATTATCCACCCATATGTAATCCATTTAATTTAAGCACACAAAAACAAGCTTCAAAGTTATGATCTTAACACTGACCTATGTCATGGAGAAGTGCAGAAAGTTCGACCTGCCGGAGAAGAAAATTATCGATTAAGAAACTTTATAAAAGTCCTTCAGTTCCAAAACTCATTTAGACAAGATATCAAGAAGATAATAAATAAAGGAATGAATAGTTCGAACAATTTGCATGGTGTTGGAATTGGAGGAGGGGAGGGAGAGGCCTTGTTCTTCACGGGCAAGAGAGACAGCGAGGTCTCTGACCCTCCAGACGTGAGCTGCGTCGTGGGATGCATCATTGTCTTTCATGGCTTCCTCCACCAGCTTCTCTGCCTTTCTCACCGTCTCTCCCCATGATCCCACTGACCCCATCGTTCTCTTCCCTTCCCTTCCCTGCTTTAATTTCTTCTCTCTCTCTAGAGAGCAGACACTAATCGATACTTGGTATTAGTATTGGAGTGGAAGATTTGACTGGTAGCCGTGCAGTCTTTTTTTTCTAGTAAAGGGCTTGCTCTGCTCCTCCTCCTCCTTATCCTTGCCCTTAGGATCCGATCCATCCAGATTCGGGTTCGCATCGTCAGGCCCAAACAGCTGGTCGTTACTTGATGTGGTCCTGACCCACCTTTGGACCCGCCCCGGGCGTCAATTCAAACGCAGTTTGGTCTCGTCTCCCGCTTCTTTTTATTTTTCTTTTCTCAATTGATAGCTATTAAATAAATACCAACACAAATACCTGATTTTCCCACTTCCCTTTTCTTCATTTACAATTATTTTTGTTCTTTAATACTTTTTAATTAATTTTGTTATTTTTTGTTCTTGCTCTTTACTATTCTATCCTTACCCTACAATTTCCTTTATTAAGAAGACACGTACTTACTTACTAATATTGTGAAAGAATAAAAATCAGAGACTATTATGCATACATTGCTCTCTGCATATCTATGCTCCTACACACAGTTTGGTTAGTAGCATCCTTTGGTTCTTCTATGTAACACCCCGACCCAATTTAATCGTTTTTATTTAAAATTATTTATTTGTGAAATTATAATTTTGCCCTTGGAGTAGGGGCACTTCGGTTATTTTTTGTTCGGGAAGGAATTTGGGAAAATAAGATGCATCGTTGGATAGAGCTCGATGATACAAGTTTGCATATAGGCGGCAAGTTCAATTC